AAAACATTTTTTTAAACACAGACATAAATGACCCATAACTACATGTTACAATTTCAAAAATAAAACATATTATACAGTAAAAGGGACACACTCTTTTAAGAAAAAGTATTTTTTTTCTAAATTTACATGTTTAACTATGGTCTATATGTGAATGTTCCTAACAGGGTGGAACACATTCAGAGACAATGGTGGAAAAAACACCTGTAATTATTAATTTATCCAATTATTATTAATTTGTTATTGTTAAACATGTCAGTGTTGTAACAAAATATTTAAAACTTAAAACATTAATACTTTTTTTTCAAAAATACAAAGGCCTAAATGTTGCCACAAAAAAGAATCACCCTCGACTGGCAACTCTACTAGTGTGCAACTATTAACAAACAAAAAAAATTAATGCCTGTCAGAGCGATCTGAATGTCAATTTTAATTTGTTCAGTCAGTAAAATCAGGAGAACAGCCAATGTAAAATAAATAAATAAATAAAGGAACTGAAAAAAACAATATATGTAAAACATGCAACTTCTTTCAAATGGTTCTGAAAGTGCAATTAGGAATTCTAAATATAATTTAAAATAATAAAGCACATGTGTCAAACTCAAGGCCCGTGGGCCACATGTCCCTCCCTTTCACAGCTGCACCATTCTTCATGTCTGGATCAACTCCAGAACTCGAGCAATGAAAATCTCCGCACTCTGAACTCACACAAATAATCAATCAATCACATTTTATTTGTATAGCACATTTCAGCAGCAAGGCATTTCAAAGTGCTTTACATAATTAAAATAAAACAGCATGTGAGAAAGAGATTTAAAAAACATAATTAAAACATAAACAGTGAGAAAGAAACAGTGAGAAAGAGAAAGACATTTTGAAAAAGATTTTAAAAAAAAGATAAAAACATTAAAACCCGCACCCCTTTGAGGACTTCAGTTAAATGTCGTTTAACAAGAACCTGCACTGGTTACATAAGAGTCTGTCCTGGATGTTGCCGTTAAGACTATTCTGGAGCGCAAAATGCCTTCCACACTTTTCAGATTTTCATTTCTAAAACATTTTTGAAAAGCGGATTCTCGTCAATCTTCTTCACAAACATGCACGACTTTATCTTGATGTAATGTGACAAAATGTGAAAGTGAAATCAACACTTAATAGCCTAAATAAACTTTTATGATAGCATCAAAAGCAATGCTAACAACGACTCCAACTATTTCCTGCATCTGGAGGCAATAAACTTGCTCACAATGTCAATTAAAAAATTCAACGAGCACTAAAGGGTTAGCTGATATCAGGTTTTTTTAAACAAATCTGGAACAAACTTCCAGAAAACCACAAAACGGCCAAAAAAGGAAAAAAACAAACAAACACCTGTTTAGATTTGCCGTTGATTAAAGTGGAACATCCACCAAACTATTTGTTTGATGATTTTGATTACCTTCCAAAAAAGAATAATTATAATGAATGTTTTCTTCTTGGTCTAGCACATATTTTGGAAATAGATGTGGCGATTATTTTTTAAATAAAAAAATAATTTTTGACGTCATGGCAGTTTGACAAAAAATAAATATTTATTTCATGTTTCATAACTGATGACTGTAATGTTTTTAAGACGTGAAACACGTTGAAGTGCCTTGTTGCTGATGAACTTGACTTCAAAAAGTTTGGATTATTTTATTTAAACTAGGTAGAGCTAAGGCTCTAACCTGTAGAGGAGTTCAAAGTTCAAGCTGCACATTAATGACCAACACCTCCTCTCAACACTAATCTGCAGACCACAAAACAGAACCGTAGATCTGTACAACCACGTTTTCCGTGTTTATTTTCAGTTATTGCATTTTATCCAGCATCGCTGTCATCACGGGCTTGCATTGCACGTTTGTGTTTCTGCACAGTGGCTCCACAAACCTTGGCCAACTCAGCGGCACGCTCGCTGCTGCTGGCTGTTTGTTGTGCGTTCAAAAGGATGGCTACTTGGGAGGCCTGTGATGTTCCACGGAGAAGGATGTGCACAACTGTGACTGTCTGCCTGTGTTTGCACTCGGAGGACCTCTGAACCCTTCGCCTGCTGCTCGGACCGGGATTGGACGAGCCGCTCAGTCGCAGTTCTGTTTGAGCCCGGGGCTTGTGTCAGCGTTGCATGAGGACTGGGTGGCTTTTTGTTGACATGATCAACAAGACCAACATGAGTGCCTGAGTTACTGATTACATGTGATTTTATAATTTGGAGATAAGACTTGGGCTTTAAACACTGATTCCTGCCAGTTAGGACAAGCCATCCAGCTGGGATCCTTTATACTGGGACGTCACTCCTTCAGGTAAATACCCCAACAGTTAGTTTTCTTCATCTTTTGTTCACCTCTATCTCTTCATTAGGATGTGCAGCTCAGTATAGTTGCAACAATAATCAAAAACATAAAAGTTTGAAAAGACAAATTGTTAAGACAATGTCAGTGGCATTGGGGGAAAGAAAAGCTAAACCAATTAAGGTGTTTTTGTCCTAAAAAAAAAAAGTTTCAATATTTTCTTTAATGCCTACAGAGTGAGGAAATAAAATTGTTTTATGTCTATTAAACAAAATAATCAAATTAGCAAAAGCTTGCTTGCAGCTAACATTTTGTACTTGTAACTTTGCAGGGCTATTGGGATCGTTTTGTTCCTGCTTTCCTCTCTCCAGTTGAACAGGAAACGGCATCATGAGCGTGGAGTCCAAAAAAACACGCGAGGCCTGTTGCTCCAAGCTCAAGGTCAGTGGAGTCCGACCTTTTGCCTGTATTACCACATATCGGACTTTAAAGTAGCAAAAAGGGTCAAGTCTTCACCAAATCCAAGGCCCATGAAAGAATAATTTACCTGCAATTTGTTTTTGTAAGAAACAAGGGGCTGATTTTTACTGTACTCTAGTGGTGATTTTCATTTGTACCAAACAAGAGTAACTAGTAGCAGTATTTATCAAAATGTTATTAGAGTACATGACATGTACTAATTTGTGTGTACACAATATATTGCAACGTAAGTAATAATAGTCTGGCCTAAAATATTGGACATTATTTTCCAAAGGAAAACAATTTGATTTCCTTTTAGAAAACCAATTCGCTGTGGTTGCCGGTAACAGCTTACCCAACCTTTACCGGCATGTTAAAAGGTGGTAATCATCTGAAATTTTTCTGTAAATTTTCATAAATTATTCTCGGTGCCAGGATTAAAGCAAATTGAGGCCATGGTCTGAGCTAATAAAAAAAGAAAAAAGAAAAACAAGGAGATAGTTTTGTAAACAAATCATAAATCTCCTTCTATTACTTCATCAGATTGCCTTAGGCTAAATCTGCACATTCGGTTTGGGGTTAAGTGAAAACAAGCATGAATTTTTCTGTATATTACAGAGTGATCTAACATGAACTCTTTTTCTTACGCTACAGATGTTACAAACGTTGTGTTTTCAAGTAATATACTTTCACCACCTTTAGTCACATAAAGAAAAAGCTTTGTACACCAAAAACATTTTTTATTGGTACTGAAAAGAGGTGCTAGCGTTCTTTGAAGATGTCAGATTTATTGAGATTTGTCCTCCTATATTCAATCAATCGATCCACGTCTATTTGTATCAGTCAGAAGGCAGTTAAAGGTGGTTTACATCATAGAGGTGCCATTGTTGCACATCAAAAATGTTGATAGACGTTTAATCTATAATGTTTCAAATGCAACTCTAAACAGGTGGGATTTTAATCTGGAGTTAAAGACACTCGGTGCATTTTGGATTTTAGATATGTGAACTAATTGTTGCACGTCGTCTGAGATTGTCCAGTGTGTTTAAAGGCAACATAGCTTAGCAACTTTTTATATTATTTTGCAGCTGTTCCTTGTCTCTTTGGCATTTGTGTACTTTGCCAAAGCTTTTGGCGGTGCTTACATGAAGAGCTCCATCACCCAGATCGAGAGACGCTTTGACATCCCCAGCTCTCTGATTGGGGTCATAGATGGCAGCTTTGAAATGGGTTCGTGAAGTTAAGATGTTCTGGATTCTAAAATGCTGGAGCTACTCCTTTAATTAATAGTTTTCTGCATTTATTTTTCTTCACAGGAAACTTGCTGGTAATTGCCTTTGTGAGCTATTTTGGTGCAAAGCTCCATCGTCCCAGGCTGATTGGTATCGGCTGCTTGGTCATGGCCACTGGATCCTTCATTGTTGCACTGCCGCACTTCCTACAGGGCCCGTTAGTATAAAACTCATTTACTCTGCTTACATCTTTTCAAAAATAATCTGTATGTTTCACAAATAGCTTGTCAAAGAACAGTATTACATTTTAACCAGTAATAAATCACTTTTATAAGTACAATCAGTGATATAAGCTGCTTACAGACACGTTGCACCGTGACATCACAATTTAAAAAATATACCAAGGCAGAGGAAAGTAGCTCAGCTATGCTAGCTTGACTTTGACAATCTTAACATTTAGACGTGCTGTGGAATTCAGTGTGTTTCAGTTTATTTTAAAAAAAAAAAGGCGACTCACATACCATCTCTCTGACAACTCATCAGCAGAGCAAGTGTTTAAATTAGCTAATCAATTTAAATATTACAACAAAAAAGAAAAGGAGTATTCATATATTTCCAAATCTTGTACAGAATATGTGACATTACTCTTATTTTTTCTAGGTATAAATATGAGACCAGTATGTCACACAACACTCAGGTCAACACCACTGAAAACATCCTGCCATGTTTGTCTAACCACAGCCTGAATGAGAAGGATGGAATCCCCGATGTAGAAGCCATGAAAGGTAGCTGGTATTTTGTTTTGAAATTCACCTCCATGCACTTTAGCGTTGATCCTAAATCTGCCAGAAAGAGTTTAATTGCCGGTCGTCTTCTCCCCAGCTTGTGAAAAGGCAGTTGGCTCTTCCATGTGGATCTATGTTTTCCTGGGAAACATGCTGCGTGGAATTGGAGAGACTCCGATCATGCCTTTGGGAATATCCTATCTGGATGACTTTTCCAAACACGAGAACACTCCTTTCTATTTGGGTTTGTTGTTGTTATTAGTTACAGAATGCTTTGGCTTAGCACTTTGCATAGGATCGGTATACGTTTTAGTACATCTTCATAGTCAACTCTCAGCTTCTTATCAGCCACCTTTATTTTTGATCAATTTATGTAAGAATTTCTTTTTTGGATGTCATCTGTGCTTAAACATAGAAGTGAAATATCCCACAAGAGGTAATCCATAACACTCTCTCCCCTTTTCTCTTCTAGCCTGCATTCATACAACAGGAATATTAGGTCCTATGTTTGGGTTCATGCTGGGGTCCTTCCTCGCCAAGACCTACGTGGACATTGGATTTGTCAATTTAGGTATGGGACATCTCATTCTGAGAACAAAGGAGAAACTGGCTTACCATCAATCAAAAACATTCCTTTAAGTAATTCTATAGGATATAGGATCCACCTATGTAATTCAAACTATAGCTGCATATTTACTGACATATCATCATTAAGTACCTAAATGCTTCAGTGGAGAACAACTAATTCATATCCTGTTAATACAATGTTTTTAATGGCAACCATTTTGGATTTCAAGACTAGAGTTTTAAAGAAACCTACAACTTCCCAAGAAAGAATTTTCATCCATGGGATTGCTCCATTTATTCAGATTTTGCCTGGGAATTTGGAAATTCATCAGACAAAAAGGAACACGACATAAAAAAAAAGACGTTACAACCCCAACAATCATCCTTCCCCTTTTTCCCCAGACAGCATCACCATCAACTACAAGGACTCTCGCTGGGTGGGAGCCTGGTGGCTGGGCTTTATCTTGACTGGCACAGTGATTCTGCTGTCGAGCATCCCCTTCTTTTTCCTGCCCAAGTCTTTGCCGAAACAGGGGGAGGAGGAAGAAGATGGCAACAAAAGTACAGAGCTAGCTTCTGGGCCAGAACAGGAGAGCTTCCTGCCAGATGAAACCCAAGATGGTGGAGAGAAAGAAAAGACTGTCACATTTAAGGAAATGGCTAAAGGTAACTAAGTGTTTTGGCTGTATGTCCAAAAAAAAAAAACACTAAGAGCTGAGGGTAATCTTATGTAATGCTTTTTTTCTTTGCCAGATTTTGTTCCTTCACTGAAGAGACTCTTCAGGAACAGCATCTACACGATGATGATTCTCACCCACTTGGTTGCGGTCAACGGTTTCATTGGCATGATCACCTTCAAACCTAAATTCATGGAGCAGATCTACGGCCAGGCGGCATCCAAGGCCATTTTTCTCATAGGTACACCACTCACCCAATCCCCACTCACTCTTAACTTTCCTGCAATTGGAACAATGATGTTGTGAAAAGGAAGTGTGATTGTGTGTGATAACATCAACTCAAGAATGTAAGCACTTAATGACCCACTGTGAAATCTCTCTTTGTGCAAGTGTTTAGAAAATCTAGACACTATATTTAGCATTTGATGACTGGGTGGTTATCCAACATTGTCAACCCTTTGTTTTCCATCTTGGGAGTGTAAGGCCTTTCTGTCCTGAAAAACCATCTCTACATTTCACCACTAAGGCATCATGAACCTGCCCGCAGTCGCTCTGGGCATCATCACTGGTGGTTTTATACTGAAACGTTTCAACCTGGGTGTCGTTGGAGCAGCCAGAGTGTCCATCTCTGCATCTCTTGGAGCCTTTTCTTTGCTTACCCTGCAGGGCTTCTTCCACTGTGACAATGCAGAGGTGGCTGGTTTGACTGTTGCGTATCAAGGGTGAGGTTTTTTTTTTTCTTTTGATGATGAAATCTCTTGACTTCATTGGCAATAAATAATATTCTGACAAACACCACTTGTCTGCTTTGGTCCAGTTATCAACAGGTATCCTACAATTATTCCACACTTTTGTCCCCGTGCAACATGGGCTGTTCCTGCTCCATGAAGCACTGGGATCCTGTGTGCGCCTATAACGGCATGACGTATGCCTCCCCCTGCCTGGCTGGATGTCAGACCTCCACTGGGACAGGAAAAGCAATGGTGAGCTTTTTTTCCACCAACATGAAATCCATCCACACAGACAGCACAGAGTTAGAGATTTCTCTCTGAAAACTGAAAGTAGTAGATCTCCAAAATCTGTATCTGTCATGATCTCTGTTTTGTGGGGGTTTATTTCTGTATGATCTTTCCATGTTTTGGGTTTTTTCCGGTCCTTGGTGTCATTTAGCTTCTGTTGATTAGGAATCTCTTTCACCTGCTCCCTTTGTTATTTAAGTCCGCGTTCACTTGTCTGTGGCGCGGGATCGTTGTCAGATCGTTGTCAGAACGTCTCCTGATTGTACCTGGGTGTAAGAGGAAGAATAAAGGCAGAAAAACACGCCGTCGCCTGGCTGAGCCTTCGTTCCAAGCGATCTCAACACCCTTCTTGACAGTATCACCTGTATTCAGCTGAAGGTACAAGTTGTTCTACATTAGAGCCTTGTGTTTTTGATCTTCAGGTGTTTCACAACTGTACCTGTGTTGGGGACTTCATGACTCCTGCTGCGAACATGTCTGCTGTGCTGGGCCAGTGTCCGAGGAAGAGCGATTGTGATTATAAATTTAAAATCTACATGGCTTTGACGGTGGTGGGAGCTTTCATTTCTGCCTGTGGGGGCACACCGGGATTTATTGTGTTACTCAGGTAAGATTCACTCAATTCCTCGAGGGCCAGAGTCCTGCAAGTTTTAGATGTATCCCTTGACCTACACACTTGAATTAACCAGTGAAACCGCCTCACTGGTATGCAGTCAAGCTATATGAAGCTCAGCTAATGAGCTAATATTGGAGCCAGGTGTGCTGAAGCAGAATGACATCTAAAAGATGCTGGACTTAGGCAGTTGGACATAATGTTAATGCCAAATCAGTGATTCAATCATTAGTGACATCAATAAAACTTAAGTTAGGGCAATTACAAAATAAATGTAAATAGGTTTGTCTAACTTTGGCTATGTTTAATTCTTTTATCCTTACTTGCCCACAAGAAACAAACCTCCGTTTCTTAAATTTCACGGTTTTATTCTCTGACATAATCCATCGTGCTTCTTTGCATTAGATCCATCCAACCAGATCTGAAGTCTTTGGCCTTGGGTATGCAGACCCTGATTGTGAGAACTCTGGGTGAGTACTGCACCTGCAACAAACACCAATTCTTAGTAATGACATTGATGACATTTGGCGTGACCTCCCAGGTGGGATACCTCCCCCGATATATTTCGGAGCACTGATCGATCGAACTTGTTTGAAATGGGGCACGAAGCAATGCGGAGGACGCGGCGCATGTAGGCTTTATGATTCCAACGCGTTTAGGTGAGAACAGATGTTGGCCTTGCAGGTTACGTCACAAATCACAGCAAATAAAATCCGGCACATGTGTAATCAATGTTTTTATAACGCTTTCACTTTCAGAATGACTTTCTTAGGCTTGGTAACTGGACTGTACTTCCTTACCAATGTGTTGTGGGGAATTCTCTACGTTAAAATCATCAAGAGACAGAAGAAGCTAGCTCTGAGGAACCAGGCCAAAGACAACAAAGTGGAGGGTAACACACAGAACAATGGGCATGCAAACATCAGCATTTCTACGAACAAAGAAGAGGATAACAAGGAGAGTTCGATTTAACATATTACAAGACGGCCACATCATTGTGTAAAGAAGATGGACCCAAACTGGATCAAATGTGGTAAGGTACAGTTTCATCACTGTTTGGCCTTCCAGCAGCTCACCACTTTCTTCCTTCTATTTTTCTTTTTAGATATAAAAGTCAAAACTTGAGCAATTACCTTACATTAAAAAATATGTGATCTTTGTCCAGTCAGTCAAAGTAGCTGGTTTGAAACTCAACTCACTTTTCATGGAGTTCAGTTTTAAATAGATGTATATAAAATACTAAAAACATTTTTAAAATGACACTCATTTTAAAAGTTTTACACACTGCTGAAGCTGAAAGACTCTTGATTCTTTCATGAGTCATTTTAATGTGTCTTTTTTCTTAATCACTGGAGGTCATTAGTCTTGGTACCGGTGTTTTACCTCACTTCCTGAAACCATTTTTACAAACTTTTACCATTGATAAGCAGTTAATCTTTATTTTATTTTAAAGTCAAGTAAAAATCCTGAAATGTGTCCCAACAATGCATTGTGTGTCAATGTAATTGTTATGTACTACATTACAGTTTTTTGTTAAACAACTTAGTTTTAATTTGCAACAAGCTGCAGTCAAGATATCTTCTGAAATATAAATGTTGTAAAGTGAGTCACTGTTTGGATTGTGAACTGCAAGCCCTGGACTAAGTACTAAACTTGTTTTTGTAATTTACTTTCTTAATACTTTATTGCAACCATAACATCCAGTCACACAGCAATGACTTAATAATCACTGTTAATAATTTGGATTTATAAAGAATGTTAGATGCTTGTTTAATATGTCATATATATTGCTTAAGGTTCTCTTCTTCCACTCTCTCTGTATAGTTGAATATACATTAAAGACAATAAGTTCATTAGTTGGTCTTAAATTATTATTATTATTATTAAAATATTGACTTCTAAGACTTTTTTTTACTATATAAATGAACAATTTTTTAAACATATCCTGTCTTGTGAAAAATATAGAAGCTCACATTCACTTTCAGCCCTGAATGACAATGAATAAAAGAAATAAGTGAATAATCAGCTTTCACTATACCACATGCTGAAATAAACACATTTGACTGAAAATCAGCATAAAGATTTCCTGTTTGCAGGTCAGTTGGGATTACGAATATTATTTGTATTTGCAAAAAGCCATAAAGTTGACGGTGGTTTTATACCCGAACTGTGACGTAGACCTCAACTACAGTAGCACCCTCCAACCGATGGAGGGCAGCACTTGCACGGTTTTACAAATATTGCAGAATTAAACAAATTCACACAAGAATGTTGATTTACAATGTTTAAAAATATACAATGTTTTTTATGCTAGGTGGATTATTGGTAGAAAAGCTAAAAATAAGTCCAGAATTATTCATACCTCAGATGTATTTAAACTATCAGAAAAGAGATTATCTCCAGGCTGAATCAAAATTCTTGGTTGAATAAAAAAAAAAATTACATCTAAATCTGTTAGGGGTATATGAACAACTCAAATGCACTTCATGAGAAATTTCTTTTAAATGGACTGAGTATTTGGAGGGCAGTTTTGCATCAGGTTTTAACAATTAGGTTGGTCTGGTTCAAGCAAATGTCTAAAAAAAGTAAACAGTGTTGCAACCCAACCGGCTTCTAGGTCCTGAAATTTTCTCTCACCCCTCACACATTTGTTTTCCGGGCGTTTTGCCCTGATTTCCATGTTTTTACCAAAGGGGCAAAGTCTATTTCCAGGTAATGCATCATCTGAGCATTTTCCAAGTAAAGTTAACTGTAGCTCCATTCCTTTTTGCTGTTCTTGCTCTACCCACAGAAATCAACCTTGACCTTCTCTGTTTATTTTGTTCTTTCCAAATAGCCCTCCTCTTGCTTTCATTGGACCAGAAGCAGAGTTTGAACTTCAGCATGTTGTCACTGTGTGACACTCGGAAACTCAGAGATTTCAGGATGAACAATGACTGGATGTTCTAGTTTGAAACACATCAAAAGTACAGAAATGTAAAGGCTGAATGCATTTATTTTCACCTAAATAAAAATTTTACCAGCAGGTGGTGCTCTACACACGCAGAAAAACGTTCTACTATGGTTTTAAGTAAGTCTGTCCAAGCTGAAAACAGTTCCTTGCAAAAGTATTAATCCCACTTGAAACTTTTCACAGTTTGTCATGTGATAAAACACAAATTTCTATGCATTTCATTATTTTTCTTTGTGAGTGACCGACACAAAATAGCATGTAATTTTGGAAGGAAGACAATGGCACACATTTTTACAAATAAATATCTGATAATTGCTGTTTGTCTCATTCACTCTGATACTCCTAAATAAAATAGTGCAGATTCTTTGTTGTTGTTGTTGTTGTTAGAGAGATGTGGAAGAGCAAAATCTTAAGGGTTTTGCCCATTTGCCTTATAAAAATAAATATTTTTAAAGTGTCCATTGAAGACATAGCAAAAAAAAAAAAAAAAAAAAAAAGTCTGCAGCAATAAAAGCAGGATTTAGGTCTTCCTGGGTTTGGGATTGTCCTTGCAGAAGAATGCAAAAAGTGTGGCTATTTAAAGATGAATGCTTTGCATTTTAACGAGATTTCAATTTACCTGTAATCCTTCTGCTTCATTTCCATCTGCATCAACCACCTGTGCTTGGGGTTAATTTTTTACTGCCACAAAATCGGTTCAAGACACCTCGAGTCTGCGACAGACTGGCGACCTGTCCAGGATGTACCCTGCCTCTCGCCCGGAACGTTAGCTGGAGATAGGCACCAGCACCCCTCCCGACCCCACTGAGGGACAAGGGTGTTCAGAAAATGGATGGATGGATGGATGGACACCTCGAGTCAGCTGTAGTTGTCATACCAGCCCACTAGATGGCGCCGCGATTTTAGCAGGCGCCATTTAGCTTCCACCTCACTAGCTTCTACCTCATACCTGCTATCTCCGTCTCCCAAGAAGAAAGTGCTCAAGTAAATGTATCTCTTATATTAAAAGTTGTGCTAAACAGAACTGGTTGAGTAACACAAAAGAACACCGTGCTATCCGCCATTGTTTTTGTTATCTGCCCGTGCTGCGTAGTGCAAGGACGTGCGCTTTAGCAGAGTACTTCTCCTGCGGAGTGTTTCAGAAAAGTTTTACTCTGATACTTCAGAAAGTCACTGGTGTCGTGTAAACGACCCGCTGAAATTATGTTGCAGTTGATCTGAAGAGCGGCTCGGTGTAAACGGGTACAATGTTTAATATTAAAATTACAAGAATAAAGCTATTTCTGAGAGAAACTTTGTGTGCTGCAGGCACGCAAGGACAGCAAAGATGCAAAAGGTACTCTGGTCAGATAAGACCACAAACCAACAATTACCCAGATACAATGGCATAATAATGTAAAATTGACATGGTACTTCTTTCTGAACACACCACCCTTGCAGCGAAACATGGTGGCGCTAGCATAATGCTATGGGGGTACTTCTGGTAAAAAGTGACTAACTGTTGAGGTGAGCAATACCTTCAGTTAGCTTGGTAGAGATTTGCTCCTAAACACCTAAAGCTGTATTTGAAACAAAAGCTGGCTGTGCTAATCATACACTAAGGGAGGATGAACTCAGTCCAGTAGATTGAAGTTCAAAAATGTTCAAGGGATATTAATACTTCTGCAAGGCTACATGAAGGCACTTCTTATCTTCAGATGATAAATCTGCAACGAGCAGAAACATTTCTACTGTAATTTAGCCTGAGCTTGCATTCCGGAGCGAGTCAACCCAATGTTGGATACACTTTCTGCTCAGCTTAGAGTCAGCAAGCTTACGGCACAAAGTGGAACTACTTCCTGTACAGTTTGTGTGCAGGAATTTCAGGGTTATGCTCAATAATCCTCGGCGTCTGTGAGAACAAAGCTGATCGTGTGTGTGACCATACATGTTGTACCAGACTCACACAGCATTCCAGACACATTCATTTACAGAGGTGCACCGTTCCACCTTCGGGAGTCTCCGTCAACTCGGTGTCGCACTGAGCCTGGCATGCGTATCAGGTGTTTTTGCTTCTTTCTTTATCTGACCAGGCGTCGTAGAAAAGAAACAAAAGTTCTCCCAATTCTTTGTGATAGCAGCAAGAACATTTTTACCTCATTAAAAATCCAGAGACTTGTCCAAAACCTCTAATCTATGACCAACCCCCTGGCCCCCTCCGCCACCCTCTCACGCCTGAGCGCCAAAGCCCCACATCCTTCTCTGCCCTCTTTGCTGTCCTCCTCCTGGACTGGTTGGCATGTGTATGGAATAAAAATGTGTCGGAGCTTTTGTTTTGCTGGTTCCAAGTAACGGCGCTGGACTGAGCCAGGAGAATAGGAGCTAGAGGGGAGAGCAGGGCTGTCTCCATTCAGTCGAAGAAGAGATACATGGGTGCTTAACGAGGAAGAGACGAGGAAGAAGAAGAAGAAGAAAGGGGAGCCTCCATTGCTAAAGATGCTCTAGGTATCATTTTGTTTGTTTTCTATATATGTATAACATAAAGAAAACCAAGACTTGTGGTCATAGATGAATAATTTATCAAAGGCATGCTGCCCTTTGGGGGGGCCTAATGGGGTCATGAAGAGACCAAAGATAAAGATTTTCTGTCAGAGATCCATCATTACAGTCCGTCTACCTGACAAATGATTGCAGGGTTGTCAGCAGCTCTTTCTTCCTGAAATGGACTGAGTCGAGCATCAGCTGACGCAAACTCACCTGAGACGACTGAGAAGAGGAGTTGACACAGGTACCGACCGCAGATGAATGTCTTATCAGTTGGCTTTTTTTTGTTTTGCTTTAAGGATTTAATCGAGCTCCAGGGTAAAATGACAAACTCAACTGCAGCGATATTTAAAAAGAGGAACTTTCACAAGTTTTTATTTGTTGTAGATTTTCCTATAAGTCACACGGAGACAACATTTTCAGAAGCGGCAGACCGTGGTGTGAACACCTCACGAGAGCTGCAGTTCTGGAAATGCTCTCACCCAGTTTCCTTGTATTTATGTTAGTCGTCATAAGGTTTTGCATCACCACTGTACATACACCCACCTTGCAACTCAAGGGTCTCAGGTTGCAGAGAAACCAAGTCCAACATACTTCAATCCAAATATAAAATACTCATTGTGAATATGTGATGGCTGCTGAATATGTGATGGGAAAGGCAGTTTTTTAAGTGCCTATCTCTCATAGGTCTGCACTGGTTATTAATTTATACAACAGAGACACATATTGTTCCAGACTTTATGAATTTATATTTGTACGTAAAAAGCTTAGGATATCTGCTTAAAAGTGTTGGCTGACACAACCTCCATCTAGATTCAGTCTTTTTTTTTTTATCTTTTCTGTTTCCTTGAACTAGTCCTTGTGGGATTTTTTTTATTTTTTATTTTTTAGTGGAATTGAAGTTATTCAAGGAATTTAATTAGTAATTTTCAAATCCTCTTTCCAACAGAGCACAGAGGAAGAAGGCAGACACAAAGTCAGAAGATGGAAGAGACTTCGCAGGACGTCAGCCAGATGACCAGCCAGCAGGTTCTCTGTGACCCTGCTGAACGAAAAAGCAGAAAGCGCCTCTCCACTCTCAAGGTACTCAAGCTATTTGTAACCTGCACTTCTCAGATTTTTCTTTTCTTTTTTTTTCTTTCTAATTTTGGTATTCTTACAGCACATTCTTCTGGTGCTCTCAAGTGTAATTGCCTTTCGATAAAAAAAAAAAATAAAAAAAAAAACACAAGTTAAAAGCCTAAAAAGCAGAATAATGGTGCAACTATTAGCAGTGGCCTCTTGTATCTTGAAGGCTCTGGGTTCACTGTTTGGCTCAGGATAAGTACTACCTTTTGCTCTCTAGTTGCCTCTTTGGGTGTTTCTGAAGACAAGCAACTTTAGAGTTAATGGGTGAGTCTAAGTTGCACAATAATCAGAATAAGCTTTACTCGCCAGGTTTGCGCACACAAAACAAGGGATTTGATTTTGGTTCCACTTTGCTCCTAATAAAGACATTTAAAATATAAATGTATGAAAAGGGCAGATACAAAATTATTTTTCCCCCCTACATAACGTAGAACTGAAATGTTTCAATCTGAATTGTTATTGTAACAAAAGTTGCAAAAACAAAAATCATATAACTCTATTCAAAACATGCAGTAAAGTTAAATCTGCAAGGAGGCAGCTAACAAGTAGCACACAGCGCTAACAGAAGCAGAAGGCTTAATGCTACTGTCAGACCAATGGCCTGGATGTCATTGGTCTGACAGTATTCGTGCCTAAAATAAACTTTGCTCTCATTTTAGCGTTGTTTGGAGCTTACCACTTTGCTGTGTTGCTAAAATTAAGCAAAAAGGCAAAATGTTTAGTCCAAAGATAACATGGTCGGCTTTTCTCAGTCACAACAGTTTAATCCCCCCCCCCCCCCCCCCCCCCCCCAAAAAAATAACATTTCTCTTATATATTTATTATCAA